GTGTACGCACATTGTAGGTTGCTACCTTAACAAGTCGACCCTGCCGCCTCTGCCGGACGGTGCGTGCTGCATCCTTAATCAGCCTACGCACCTTCCGGCCCCTCCTCTTCTTCTTCCTTCCTTTTTCTATTTTCTTTATTTTTATTGCTCTGCGGATCCTCGGGTTAATGTAAGAGTTGACCCGGTGCTTGCCTTTCCCAGCGAGGTGTTTTCCTGTCCCGGAGCGGCGTGGCTCTCCAGCTCTGGACCCTTTCCGTCCCCCTGTTGGGTGCTTACCCACACGGTGTGCGATCATCCCGCCACCCTCTCCGTGCTCTCCACCGCTGCCTTGCCCCGGTGTCCAAACCATGATTGCAATGGACAANTACAGTGAAAAAGAACAACCAACCAAAGCCATGATTGCAATGGACAATCTCCCCAACCTCTCCCGATCGTCTGTGTTAGGCACGCAGTGAAAATATCGACAATAGCTAAGAATCGTTCGACATTGAAGGGATCTTCCACGATCAGGCCCATAACCAAGGCACCCGGGTTAGCCACGCCATCTCTGACGGGTCTCTCTACAAAACCAGTGACGACGTCATCACATAGAACCAACACCGAAAATCAGGAAAAAAACGAGAAAAATTGACAACACAGATAAGATATAAATGTTTGTCCGTGCGCCACGGGTCGATGTCGCCCGCATGCAGCGCCCTCTAGCAAACCTAGGGCCGTGTACATAGTATAGTGCCCGTCCACTTTCTGACGGTGTCTGCCTCCGCGCACAATAAATGAGATGGGCATCGCTGGTTACGCCGACGGCCAGAGGCCCGCGCATCTACATTTTTTCGCCTGACCCCATCAGTGCCGACCCAACTACACCACCACGCGCATGCCTCGCGGCGGATATGCGCAGCAGCAAGAAGGTTTCGGTCATCCCTTGAGGGTGAGTCTAGCCCTGCTCGCCAAGAAAGACCGCCCCTCGACTACAACCCATGTCTAAGCAAAAGCTTGTCGAGGAGCGAGGGGAAGAAGGGCGAAACAGCATGTTCATGTTCTTTGGGATCTGCATGCGGGATGTTCCTCCGCACACAGCTGTGTGTGTGGTGTGATGATGCGCAAGGGCAGATGCTGTCACCCCGGGTCATAGAAGAAGGAGGGGGCCCGCGAATGCATGCGGCGCAACTACAAATACCACCCGGGTGTCGAATACTGTGGGGGATTTCTTACATTGTGTAGGTGTCTTATATTGTGTCATTTACGGCAGGCAGATGCCCATCTCATTTTTGTGCGCGGAGGCAGACACCATCAGAAAGGTGGACGGGC